AGGTTATGAAATCGGGCGACCTGCTTAGAGACGATTATGGGGAGATGGTCTGAGCCAAGAGAAAGACGGGATGCAAGTCACGTCATTTATCAGACCGGGTGACACTATGGTTAAGTCTGGCGAACTGTGACACTCTCCTGTTTCCTCGTTAACCGTGCATCCTTAACCGTGCAGAATGTGGAACAGTCAATCTGCTCTGCCAGCGCTGATACCCTCTGGTCATTACCTAGGACGGAATCCCACAACTCATGGTGGGCATAAAAATAAAATAAATTGGCTACCAATAATGGCTAATATCAGGCAAATAACGCGGTCACAGGCGGGATATACACATTAAGCACCTCTACCTCGGCAGTTCCACACTTGACTGCTACCCCCATACATTCCATGTATGGGTCACTAGAGACTAGCTCAAGCGAGATAGGTCTGTACTGAATAGAATGGTGTAACAGGAACGATAATCCCCTAACTCCAATTCTGGTGCGATCCTTCCTTAGTACGTTGTAACCATAACAACGTCGTAGGCTGCAATTTTCATTCAGCTTGGTTTCCTGCACCGCTGCGATCTTAATATTCCTCCGACTCATAAATTCCACTATCTCATCTATTTGCCTTGAAGTCCGTTGCAATTGAATTGCAAGAATGATGCACAATCCGGAGTTGGAACAGCACATGTGGCGTTAGGTGCTGCGCTGCGGTGTTGCTGTTCTGGAGACTGCGGTGGAGTGCATACTCCGACGACGTCTCTGATGAGGACGACGAAGAAGTGGACTCGCTGGGGTCTACGTTACTGCAGCAAGTCGCAACATAATCCCTTTCGCTGTAGTCTCGCAAACGCCTAAGTCCGGAACAGTTCTTGAAGTGCACCCAATCTCTTCATCCATTACATCGCACCGAACAGATCTGTTGTGGATGACGTTTTGACAAACCGAGCAGAACCAAAGTCCGGGGTTTTCCTCAATCACGGCACGGACCAATAAATCCGGAGAAAGCATTCCGGGATATGCTGTTCCAATGCAGAAAAATAAACAAACACAAACATGTACATACTGGGTTGGCAGCCGCTGGCCGAAACTGGGATCTTGACATAGGCTGTAGTGCCCATTACGAACTTTAAATGCGAAATGTGGAACAATATCTGCAAAAAGCCTCTATAATCATTAAATACAAAATATTGCGAGGTACCGTTATATGGGAGGCTATACGAAAACGTGGACCGACATGGACAATTTACGAACTTAACCTGCATACTGGCAAAATACAAAAATGCAAAATTTTAGCGTTTATCTCAACTCGTCCAAAAGATAGCGTGATGGAAACAGACTGACACACACAGAAAGACAGGCGACCATAGCTAAATCTACTTTGAATTTATGCTAATCAAGAATATACAGTGCCCCAGAAGCGTAAATTTTGCTTATTTACGTAACCGCTAAGATGGAAATGGGCCTCATCACTCATGATTATTTTTGATGAAAAATTATCTCCTTCTTGGAGATTGGCAGCAGCCAACAGCTGATTCACCATCTGTACTTTGTGCGGAAACATCTATTAACGTGTATTTCGCATGCGTTTGCTAAAAAAAAATGTCAAAACAGAACTGACATTAAGGTCCAATCGTAATATTTATAGTATTTTCTGATAGGATGATTACTTTTGCTTTATCTTGTATATACATTGTTCAGACTGACATGAGTATTCCGAGGAGTTACAAATCGAATGAAGGAATAAAAAGACTACTGACTCACAATGTCCCCATAAGCCTACGGAGAAGCTACTGATATACTACTGACAATGTCACAAGTGACTTCTGAATGGCAAGCTGAAGCACTTTGATAGGCTAGAGGATTTATTCTATATCGTGGATCTCTCTCTTGAGATCATGCGGGTCCTTCCTGACATGCCTGGGTGGGAGTGTCCACAATATAATGGTTAGAATGAGACCACGGTAACATCCAAGCAGGTAAGGCGGGCAACGAAAACACATGATTATGCTGACGTAAGGAAGAACCTTAGTCTCCTCATCTAAATGGTCCCCAGGAGTTATGACGAGGCACTCTTTGTGGTAAATAGTGTGGCCATTGATTTGGTGGGGATATTTTCACATTACACGCATGAAAGTTAGCGGCAAGCTCCGTATACCTTAACTGCTACCCGTATGTATTCCATCTATGGATCACTACACTAGATAGGTGTATTGAACCAAATGATGTAACAGGATACAATTCCCCACCTCCACTTTGGTGCGATCCTTCTCAATACGTTGTAACCAATGCAACGTTGTATGCTACAATTCCCATCCAGCTGGTTTCCTACACCTCTGCGATCAAGATATTCCTCCGATTCATGAATACGGGCTAGACCGGAACAATTCCTAAAATGAACCATCCTCTGCATCTATTACATTGCACGGAGACTGATCTGTGGTGGATAATGTTTTGAAAATCCGAACAGAATCATATTCCCGACTTTTCTTCAATCCTGACAAGGACCAAATTATCCGAAGCAGACAATCTAGGATGTGTTGCTCCAAAACATAAAAATAAATAAATAGTCAAGTGTCAATGACTATGACATTCCTACAGGGTAATTACAAAAGAGCACGGTTGGTGGCGAATTTCCGAAAAATGTAACTCAATGCCTACATTTGTCGTTGAAATTTTGTTAAGGCGAAACAATTTATTTCACCTAATTTTGCTCTCTTCTCCTATAAACAACAAAAACATGTATATTTTTCGAATTGGATTCGTGTGTTTTCTGTAGAGCTTCAACAAGCTGAATCACCTTTGAATGTAGCCCACATTGCAAGTCGGAAATCAACAGAAACCACCATGTAAATTCTACGAAAATTTTAATAAAAATGGGGGTTATATGCTTAACAAATGTGCTAGAGAAAAACTTCTTTACCAGTTTGAGGCACACATCGGAACTTATTGTAGAAATAAAATAAGTTATAAATACTGGGCCAATTATTAAGCGGGTTTGCAGATACATTTGTACGCTCATTTTCTTAGTTGGCAGTACTATCAAGATAGTTATTCAAGGAATGTTTTTTTTTTAAAGAAATAGTTTTATCTGTCGGGGAAAAATATTCTATTATCGATTTCTCAATTGTTTAAAACGAGTTGTAAAACCGATACCCCAGACAGGTGCTGGATTTTTGTTCTATGAAAATATGAAATGAAAATATTCTTTATACATTTTTTCAACAATTTCAATTTTTGTAATTTATTGTTTAATATAGTTTTTTTGTATGCGTTTTTAAATAGCGAATGCTCTGTGGCAAGAATCAAATAATGCAATATTAGGGTAACCCTAAAATGCAACAATCTGGCAACATCATAACAGTGTTGCATTCCTCAGTAGTTGTAAGTTATTACATCTCTTTAACACACAGTAGTACTGATGAAATTATCAGTCTTTGTGCAACCACCAATTAATAGACATCTCATCTGTACATATTTCGTCATACTTCATGGTTCTTCATAAATACTTCAACAACTCGTAAAACAACTTAAAGTTTTATTCAACAAATGAATTGATTGTTATGTTAAATCATCGTCTTTCATTCAACCGACCACCTCCATAGAACATACAATATCAGAAAAATCAATTATAGCCGTAAAAACTTTACATCCATACAGTTATGAAATAGAGCAAAATAGAGCGTTTGTTTGTCTCTCTATAAACAGAGAAAAATATTTCATTAGTTTAAATTTTTACAGTTTTAAAATATTGATTTTACATCAATTTCAATTTTTGTAATTAATGTTTAATATAGCTTTGTTTAGTGTTTAGTAGTAATTCGTTTCATAAGAGTATCTGACAGCACCTCCTCATCGACGACTCGAGAAAAACTAAATATTCTACGCAAGGCCAAGACGATTAGTTTAAAAAACATCTAAATTAAAGAGTGCTCATCAAAACAGAGAAGTTTATATGAGTTTGTTTAAAACAATTCTTTTCGACAGCAAAATAAGGCAGCACTCGCTTTAATGTGATCGTAAAACGATTTAGTAGTGGTTCTACGAAATTAGTTATATCACTATTTCATTCAATGCGTACAAAAGATTTTTGTAGCAATAGCAAGATAGGTAGATTGTTAAGTGCACAAGTAATAACATAAATTAAAATTAAAGACAGATGCAATTGAGATAATCAGAACATTAAGCGGTTCATACGGACCAAAACTTTTTTGTTGCCTATGGTTTTCTTTAGCATGATTTATCTTTAGCATGGTTTATCTTTAGCTCATTATCTTCCAGAACCGAAACTGTTTAATGAACAACGCATTACTCAATGCATCTTTAAAACATAAACGAAATATTAAACAAAAGTCTAGAAATCGATCACACCAAAATGGAGGCAGACCGTGTCCCCTCCTGTATATAACGAACTAAAAATATATTTATATTTCATTTATATTTTAAATCAATTTTAACGGAGATGAGCCAGTTATGCGTGGTATTAAATGTACACCAAAAAAAAAAAAAAAAACATTGTTGAACACAATTTTCAGATTAGTGGAGGACTATAGCACAAAAAATAGAATGGAATAACTGAGTACTCAAAACTACTGAAATTATATATGGATAGAAGGAAATCATCACAATAACACTTTGATAATTTAATGATCAAAATAAACTAAACTAAAAATTTGATGTATTTATTTTGTTTATTAAATTATATAAGTGTTATTGTGATGATTTCCTTCTACGCTTATAACTTAAGAACCGCTGGTCTAATTCTGATGATTCTGACAAATTCGGAAAATCAAAATCGAAAAATCGCGTTAAAAAGTGAAATATGAACGTTTTCATTTTGACTTTTGAAATGTACAATACAGTAATGTTTTATTTTGCATGTTTTTTTTTTCGTTTTGGCTTACTGTTTTCGAATGTACATTTGTAGTATTTTTTAAATGTGTGTAGTCTTTTTGGGGAGTTAAAAGCTATGAACAAAAAAATCGATATTATTGGGTACGAACGATATATTATTGGAACGGTTTAACTTTATTTAATTGTTTCGATTCCTTGAGAACTGAAATGCAGGTGGTGGCGAAACTGAATAGATCATGTCGAATTAATTTAACGCGGTCACAGCAAAGTTAAAAGATAATTACTTTTTCAATAGCGCTAAAAAATTAAAAATCAAAAAAAAAAAAAAAAAAAAAAAAAAAGGAGAGGCTACCTCATTGCAAAAATCTAAAATCGGGAAACATCGAGAAACATTTTTCAGTGGAATCGAATTCAAAATTATAGTACATTCTATTGACAAACTTCGTAAGGACTTTTGAACATTTGCTGTAAAAACTCAGCGTACAAGTTGAAGATTTTTTTCAATTTTTTCCTTTTTTAAAATGAGTGCACAATTCGGTGTTAAATGACGATTTTTCATGCCTAAAGTTAGCATCTAGCTTTCAACTTCAGGACCTACATGGTGCTTAAGCTGGAAGATGCGAACACGTTTAAACAAACAAAATGACCGACAAAGCGTTATGGGCCTCATGTTGGTAATTTGAGGAGCAACCACCCTTGCAAAGAATGATCACGTTTTGGTAAACCATCATATGGTTTAAGCTTCTTTTCGGGGTCTTTTTTTAAATTTTTTGGCGCTTATTTGGCATCTTTGTTTCTAAGGGGGTGGAAACCCTATTCGGATAAAATGTTTAATTTTAGAAGTTGGGCCCATCATCGATTGGCTAAAAAATAGTATTTGAGCTATTCGGGGTAGATAACCATCTTATAGATAATTGTCCATATAAGCATTTATTTAAGTATAGTCCCCACATCAGTGTCCACTTTTCAACCAATGTGTGGTCAGAAAAGAAAGAGAATATGGTTGGTAACGTAGATTTGGATGTACGTCTATATGAAATAAATTCCAAAATGCCATACTAGGACTCATTCAATCGTTGAATTATACTATAATGAAAATATGGACTTTTGGGGTCTCCAACACACGGTAATGGGTATGAAATAATATTATCTGTGACTACTCTGAAATCATTCTGTACTCAATTATGAAGTGGACAAAACTAAATACCACACAGCACGGTATTCTAAAAGTTAGAAATACAAATTGCAAATTACAGCTCATTTGAATGGAAAATGTTGCTAAGATTTTACAGAAAAAATTAAGCTGTGTTTTATCTGGGGCTATTTTAGATGTTATATAATATAGTTTTTAACACTCAAATTAAAGTCTTAGGCTGAAAAATAAGATCAGTTTATTCAAAATATCTAAAACCGGCGGTAGGTGAAAATCTATATAAATTTTGCATGAATATTTATTTCTATTTAGAAATTACTATATACTATCAACATGGCTTTCCAACTCTCAAATTAAAACCTCTGGCTGAAAAATTGGATCAGGTTTTTTGAACTAAATACAAAAATGGGCGTAAAAGTGGTCGTTGTCAATTTTCTCTGCATAAAAACCTGACTCTGGTTAGGACGAACGTGGTAACGAACGATAAAATCGGTCCAGCCGTTTTAAAATGATTCAATTACCATCTAACGACATTTGATTTTAATGCATATAGATACATATGTACTCTCATTATAATAAACATATATATCGATGAAAACATACCTATTATATCTGCAAGATCTCCACCATTGTTAGTGTATTTATTTCTTTCTTTTCGAATAACTCCATCGTTTTGTACAACTTCATGTTTATTAATAATTTCGTTTGCATTATTAAAGTCAACATCAACAGCAGCAAGGGCGCTCGCTAATGGGGATGTATTATATCGGGTTTGTTTTGTTGACATTACATTGCGGCGTACTCGACATTCTTCCGATAGAAGTAGTGTAATTCTAAGTAGGTTTCCATTTCCTTCTCCCACAGCGATTACTCGGGGATGGTGAGAGGCTAGCATTGGTGCAAAGGCCACAACTTCAGTATCTAAGCTTTCAACCAAAAGGAAGTAATCTTCCACGGATATATCCCTATAAAATAGTTTATTTGCATTGTTTTAGAATAATATTTATATAATTTAAACCTTAATGGGGTGCGAGATCCATCCGAAAACTCCAGATCAATATCCAACAGTCCTTCCTGTATTGTGCTGTCAATTTGTGTGTTACTGCGGTTTCAGCAATGTAACCATTTTCAATACTGTTGTCTGGAGTAATTGTCAACTGCAGTCCTGATACAACGCGAACTGAAAGTTTAATAAGGCTTACTTTATCGCTGCCAACGCGAATCTCCTTTGTCCCTATTACGCGTCCTGTATTGGCGATAAAACCTAAAAAACACATATATAACCGGAGACGAATTACTATTTTAATATTTACCTGAACATCGGTGCGGCCCATTGACTTGCCTTGAAGAATTCTTCCCTTTAGGCTGGCTATTTTGGGATCTGCTACACGCAATAAGGTGTACCAAATCCGTAACTCGCAATCCAGTTCGACGTGATATAAGTAGCTTATGCGTCCAGAATTCTAAAAGGAGTATATAGACAAAACGTTTCATTTATTGGATTGATATATATATATATATATATATATATATATATATATATATATATATATATATATTATATATATATACTTCTATTTATATTTTTTTTTTGAAAATTTTCAAGATCCTTCTAAATGGTGAAGGGTATTAAAAGTTTGGACTGGCCGAACTTAGCTGATTCTTTACTTGTTATTATGGGATTTTCCAATTTTATTTTGTAACAGTAAAAAAGAAGGTAAGTTCGACCGGCCGAACTTTTAATGCCCTCCACCATTTCAAAGGAAATTGAAAATTTTCAAAAAAAAATAGTTTTTTTTGTCATAGTAGTATTAGTTTTTTGTCATAGGCTGTGGTAACGATTCTGAACTTTAAATATAAAATTTAAAACAAATATAGGGGTTATACGAAAACGTGTACCGACATGGCTCATTTACAAACTTAACCTGCCTACTGGTAAATTTTAACCTTCTATTTCAATTCGTTCGAAAGATAGCGTGAATACAATAGACAGACAGAAGGACATCGCTAGATCGTTCCTTCTAATGGTGAAGGGTTAAAAGTTTGGACTGGCCGAACTTAGCTGATTCTTTACTTGTTATTATGGGATTTTTCCAATTTTATTTTGTAACAGTAAAAAAAGGTAAGTTCGACCGGGCAAACTTTTAATGCCCTCCACCATTTCGAAGGAAATTGAAAATTTTCAAAAAAAAAATAGTTTTTTGTCATAGTAGTATTAGTTTTTTGTCATAGGCTGTGGTAACGATTCTGAACTTTAAATATAAAATTTAAAACAAATATAGGGGTTATACGAAAACGTGGACCGACATGGCCCATTTACAAACTTAACCTGCCTACTGGTAAATGTAACCTTCTATCTCAATCCGTTCGAAAGATAGCGTGAATACAATAGACAGACAGATCGTCTTAGAATTTTACGCTGATACAGAATATATTACTTTGTAGGGTCTATTATCAAATTTCGAGGAGCTACAAACGGAATGACAAAGTTAATATACCCTGCATAAAATGGTGGAGGTTATAAAAAAATATACTAAAAACACATCATCATCAACAACATCAAAGTCGACATCAATACAAGTCTATGTCATCGTCACATTTTTTACAGAATATCAAACAACCTAAAAACTGGTAATATTGACACTTCTAACCGATTCGCGACAAACGCCATCGACTTATGTCAACAAATAGAATAAGGGTAAATGTGGGTACAAGACTTGAAGTAATGTAAGGCAAAATTAACACAACTCAAGTAGCATTGTCATTTCATAACGAAAAATGTTAAAATTATCTTCCGATATTTGATTATATTCATGGTGTAGCTTTCTTAAATTCCTATGTATGAAATTTAAAGAAGACTTTCTCATACTATCATATCCTCATTTTTTAATGAGGATTTCGATTTGAATTTCTATTGAACTAAGGTATTTCGATTGAAATAAGGTATGTCGAAATTTGACAAAAAAAAACTGTATAGTGAAGAATAAATGCCAAACATTGAAAGAGAAAAAATTGGAAAGGCTATTCTGCTCTATTTTCGTCTGAAAGTATGGCTGAGAATATTTCTTAAAAAATACATCTGTCATTCTCCATTTAATCAAGCTTTTAAGCATTTATCTTTGGTTTTTATACCCTCCACCTTGGAAACTTTGTCATTCCGTTTGTAACATGTCTAATATTCGTCGTAGATCCCATAAAGTATATATATTCATAATCAGCATAAAATTCGAAGTCTGTCTGTCTGTCTGTCTGTTGTTGAAATCACGATACAGTCCACATTTTTGACGTAGAGCTTCAATTTGTACTGTGTCAATACAGAACAATTTGTATTGTGTCTAGGATGGTTGGTTTTGAAATGAAATATATCAGTCAACGTTTTGGTATAGTCCCCATAAACGGTACCGTCCCAATATTCGATATTTTGATGGATTTTTGCCACATTTCTTCGCGGATTGTCTAAAAATTGGAGTCGTGTTCTAATGGTTCTATCTCAGTTGGCGAAACATTGTAGGATACGACTACGTTTTTGTATAGCCTCATATAGCGGTACCTCCCGATATTCGGTATTTTGATGATTTTTGCCACATTTTTCACGGATTTGTCTGAAAATGGTATTTGTAGGTCATAAGGGGTCCTAGTTCTTGTGGCGAAACATGTATGTATATGTCAACGCTTTGGTACAGCCCCCATATAACTGTACCTCACGATATTCGGTATTTAGATGATTTTTGCCACATTTTTTTTACGGAATTGTCTAAAATTTGGTATTTGTTGGTCATAATGGTGGTCCGGTTAGGTCCGGTGGCGAAACATTGCGTGTATAGGTCCACGTTTTTGTATAACCCCCATATAACGGTACGCCCCATATTACATATTTTGATGATTTTTGCCACATTTTTTCGTGGATTTGTCTTAAAATTTTTTTTGTGGGTCCTAATGGGCTCTACCTCCGTTGGCGAAACATGGTATGTATAGGTCCACGTTTTGTATACCCCATATAGCAGTATCTCCCGATATTCGATATTTTGATGATTTTTGCCACATTTTCTCACGAATATGTCTAAAAATTGGCTTCTGATGTTTCCTTTATTCTAAGGTGGAGTGTATTAAAAGTTCGACCTGGCAGAACTTAATGCTTTTTTACTTGTTTTATTTTGGTTTAAGAAAAAAAAATTGTTATTTTGATATTATTATGTGCTTAATATTGGCGACATACTGCTTAGATTTAGTAGATCGTGGAATAATGCAGACGTTTTAAATACACCCCAAAGTTGGTAACATGAACAATTCATACCTTTTCCCTATCGTCTGATATGCCTCATAGGGATGTAAAAAGTGCTCTTTATAGGCCTTAATCGCTTTACTTATAACAATAAAAATTTTCAATACATATAATTGTTTTGGAAAGTGCAAGTGTCGGTTCCCCAGACGAGACCATAAGGAATTGACTGCACCTAAGTTGTAAAAGGATATGGTTCAAAGGCCTGAAAAGAGTAATATATTAAAAAAATGGCATATATATACATATATGATTTTTAAGGTCGTACCTTTAATGGTATTCGACGTGATGTGGGCACAAGCAAAGAAACTTACAGATACATTTTGATGTATCTATATATATAAAAATCAATTGTTGTTTGTTGGTAATGGAATCAGTTGAAAACGGCTGGACCGATTTGCATAATTTTTTGTATAAACGTTCGTCATACCCCGAGTTAGGTTTTTAAAGAAAAAAATATTGACCACGCCTACTTTTACGTCCACTACTTCGATTTATCTAAAATCCTGATATTTCGCAAATAATGAAGATATTGGTTTAAAAATTATTACACGATATACTGTTGACTTTCCCTCCAATCCTAAGTATTTGTTTGGGGTCTGAGGAACTGACCACGCCTACTTTTTAATCTATCTATATATATAAAAATCAATTGTTGTTCGTTGGTAATGGAATCAGTTGAAAACGGCTGGACCGATTTGCATAATATTTTGTACAAACGTTCATCATACCCCGAGTTAAGTTAAGTTAAGAGTTAAGAAAAAATACTGACCGCGCCTACTTTTACGCCCACTATCTTGATTTATCTAAAATCTTTATATTTGACAGATAATGAAGATATTGGTTTGAAAATTATTACACAATACTGTTGACTTTCCCTCCAACCCTAGGGATTTATTTGGGGGCTGAGGAACTGACCACGCATACTTCCAATCTATCTATATATATCAAATAAAGTTGTGTTAATTGCTACGCTTATAACTCAAGAACCGCTGATCTGATTTTAACGATTCACACAAAATCGAAATTGTCTCTTGGAAAAAATAGATAAAATCCAAAAAAAAATTTATTTTGACTTTTGAGGTGTACAATAGTAATGTTTTATTTTGCATGACTTTTTTCCATTTGGACTTACTAGTTTGGAATGTACATTTGTAGTGTTTTTTTTTTTTTTTTTTTTTTTTTTGAATTGAATTCTAATATGATGTGTAGTCTTTTTGGGTAGTATAAAGCGACGACAATTATGGAGTGGCGGACCTAAATAGATGATGTCAAAATAATTTAATAATTTAACAAGCAAAAGATAATTACTTTTTTCAAAATTGCTAAAAAATCAAAAAAAGCGCCTATTGCATTGCAAAAAACTCTAAAATCGGGAAAAAATAGATAACATTTTTTCAATGGAATCAAATTTCATAATAATAGTAAGGACTAAACTTCGTAAGGACCTTTAAACATTCGCTGTAAAAAACTGCGAACAAGTTGAAGATTTTTTTCAATTTGTTTATTAGTTACTATGCTTATAACTCAAGAACGTTTTGACGGATTTTCACAATTCATAAAACTTCAGAATGGAATCTTGGGAAAAAATTGCGTAAAATATGCCAATAAAAATATAAAAGAAAAAATCATTTTGGCGTGAAATTTTTTCAATTTAAAAACTATATAGAAGTGTACATTTTTTATTGTTTTGAATTCTGAATGAATAATATCAAAAATGAAATAGTACGCAATACGATGTTAAATAGCGATCTTTCATATCTGAAATTGGCATTTAGCTTTCAACTCAAGGATCTGCATCGTGCTTCAGCTCGAAGATACGAACATATTTAAACAAAAAAAAAAAACCGGCAAAACGTTATGGGGCTCATTTCAAAACGGGGACCTACCTACTTCTTTCACATGACAATAATCCGTCCAATGAGAACTCAGTATGCAAAATTCATTGGGATTGAAATAAGTGAAATACCGAATATAAAAAATAAAAAATAAGGGGGAAAAGGATTTCTATTCTTTCAGAAACTCTTCCTAAACTTTCACGATACCTTAAATCGCTTTTGCAGTTCATGATATTGGTCATAACCCCCGGATAAGGATACAACCCGATTTCAAGTATATCTTACATTTTAACCATATTTTCATACTAATTTCGGCAAATGTTGGTAATTTGGGAATGTGTAACCATCATATGATTTAAGGAACATTTGTTTAATCGTCTTTGAATTATACTATGATAAAAGATATGGACATTATGGGGTCTCCAACGCGCAATTTCAATGACAAATACTACTTATTACTTTAAAAACAAGTAAAAAAAATTAAGTTCGGCCGGGCAGAACTATTACTATCGTCCACTTCAGGGTAAAGGAAACATTTTTATATAAAAGTATCTGAATTCAAGCGTGTTTCACTTTGAACTTCATATACAAGTAAGACTGTTTGGATAATGCAGTTAACTTATCAAAAAACCATAAGTGAATGAGGCCGTTATAGGGGGCCATATCAAAAGGGGAGTCTCTGTTGACAGTTTTATAGTTCAAGGATTGTCATCTATCAAATCTTCTAAGATACCAAATAAATATTGAAACAATTGTGTGCGTAAATGTTATCAACATACCCAAATGTGAGAAATGTGGCAAAAATCATCAAAATACCGAATTTTGAGAGATACCGTTATATGGGGACTATACCAAAACGTGAACCGATAGATCATTTTCAATACCAACCATCCTATACACAATACAAATTGTTCTGCTAAATTTTGATGCTCTACGTCAAATAATGTACGCTGTATCGTAATTTAAACAAACAGACATACAGACGGACAAATCGACTTAGAATTTGGTGCTGATTATGAATATACATATGTATATTTTATGGGGTCTATGACGAACATTTATGGATGTTACCTTTCCAAGGTGGAGGATATAATAAGCATTAAAGACTGAAATTACGGTTAGAATATATATATATATATAAACTAGGTATCGTTATATATATAAACTTCTAACCGAAAGTTGAATGAAACTTCCTATTTCGGATGCGTATTCGGTCCGACTTATATGGAGTGGTTGATCTTCGACGGACCGAATAGAAGTGAAGTTTTAGAGGACTTTCGAGCCGAAGGGATATCTATGGAAAATTCGCAAGGGAATCCGTGCGTCTTTCTCATTTTTTACCGACTTTCTAACAGTTTTCGGCGGAATGGTCTTATGAAGTTCGGATGTAAATATTAAAAACAACTTCCATAATGCAATGACAAGGCAAATAGAAATAACAGTAGACTATTACTCAGTAATAACTGAAATCTGCATAGACAATTTTCCCAAGGGAAAATGGTATCTATTAGATATCCAAATAGTAATTATGAAACAATTCCGTCTAAAAACACCAATTGGAGTCATATTTTCTTGGAAACTAAAACTATAAGTGTACTAAAAAGCACTAAAGCAGGTACCATGTGATATAATGTGTGAACGGATAGAACGGATATTTGGTATCAGAATTAAGTTTAAGACATAAGGATTTGGTTATGGAAATGTGTTATAAGTATAAGAACTCTACAAATTCGATATTTCGATGTGGTTTTGGATGTACGTACTAAAAAGGTGAGAAAAAGTTGCTAAATTGTACTTAATTTGGTAATTGGGGAGGAATGAATAGATTTGGAAATCTAAAATTTGATATTAGAATCACTTTTTGTGCGGAGGAGTTGATCTATGGAGGTAGCCTTGGAAATACGTGCAAAAAATATACGAAGAGTATAAAATGCTATTAATGTTGGTATTTTGGGGAAGGGATATAGCTGGAAATCTGAAATTTGACATGTGGGTCTTTGATGTTGTGTAGGATAGATGTACCAACGGGTTGTTTGAAAATTCAAACAATAAGTGCACCAAAAATACTCACTACTGGTGGGTAGGTTGAAAATAAGGAGGAGGTTTTGAAATACGTCCTAAATGCAACGAAATTTGGTATTGGGTGAACGGGTAGTTTGAAATTTGTCATAAAAGACATTGTTAGTGTGAAGGGTTAAGATTTGGATGTGGTTTTAGAAATACGTAATAAAAAGTACGAAATATGTACTAAATTTGGTACCATTTGAATTATGAAATATGAATCATTGATAAAGGTGGAATGTTGAAATTTCGACCAGAAAGAAGTCTTTAAGGAAATACGTACAATGGTTGAACGAAAAGTACTAAATGTTAGTAAATTTGGTATACAATGTAGCATCACTGTGAATTAAGATAGATGCGAATTGGGAAGTGCTTATGTATGATGTGAACTCGGAAATCTTAAACTTATGATTTTTGCTATGAGACTAACTATAAGCTAAACAATGTACAGTATTTGGAAATGCGTGCTATATAGTGTAAGTACTAAATTCGGCAGGAAGTGTAGGAATAAAGCTGGAAATATAAATGTTGGTATTAGGACAACTGAGTGTGTTTGTACTTTTAGGTAATAATGGTTCATTTTCAAATTTAGTAGTATTTAGTATATAAAGTTAGTCATATTTTACAAATGAAAAAATATATAAAGCAGCCTAAACAAATATAGACCTTATTAAAAGTTTATTGGACAGGTTAATACGATTTTGTTAATGTGTATGAACTTATCACAGCAAAGCAAGAGAATTAAAAATATTCATTGTATTGATTACTTAATATTATGAAATGCTGATCTTTGATACATTCTATTTGAATGAAATATGACACATAAATCCACATAATATCAACTACAATTTCCGCCTGCGAAGTAGCGGGTATTTGTTAGCATATTCATTTATAAACAAAGTCTTTACATTGTATATATACACTTACCTGATCAACTGCAACGAATCTGGCAAATACTTCCACCGGACTTTGTTGGTATCGGGCTCGGCACGACATTTTTTCCAGTAGACCATTGTTATAATAAGCCCCATTATGTTGGCCGTGGAAAAAAGATCTCTTTTTCCTACGAGATTTTTTATGTCTAAAAAATTTTATTAAATGAATTAAAAATAAGTTTCAGATAATATAATTTAATTAAATATTTTAAAGTTTAATTAAAAATTTGCAAAAAAAATCACATTCAAATCGCTTTAATGCCTCATTAAAAAAAATGAAAAATATATATTGTTTTTTAAATCCAGGGTCGTAAAATATATTTTAAGAGGATAATTTCTAATTCATCGCTCTTTTAAATTCGTTGTTATGTGTGCGAAATGTTTTCCCTATCGTCAAGAAAGTGAAATGCTCTTCAAAAATTAAATAATTTCAGAGAAAAATCAATTTTTCACAGCAACAAAAAGGCTCAATTTTGTATTTTTTGTGAAAGCCTTCAATCAAGTAAGGTGTAGTTTCCACAACGAGAACAATCAAATAACAAATAAATGCTATGAAATTACTTAAATGAATTCATTTAAAAACAAAAAAGTTCCTCTTTTAAATGCTGCCATTTTCGATATTCCGGTGAATATTTAAATACGACCACATGAACAGAACCATTATCGCATATAAATTGTCGAATGAAATTACAAAGTCCCCAACTATTTTTTTTAGTTTTTTGGAAAATTGCTATCGATATTAGGTAGTAGTCAATTCTATGAGATTTATTAAGCTAAGTTAAAATTTTTGGTATCTAGATAAGGGTGTATTACTTTTCCTTCAAATAAGCCTGACTAAAAACCAGAACCATAGCTAAGTCTCTTAGAGTACTTAATTACTTAATTTACACACCCTTATATTCATAACATTTGCAAAATTCAATACCAATTATTTCTGGTGAGATGTCAAATCCAATTCAATATTTCAAGTTGATATTACAAACGCTTGGATCTATTGAGATGGATATAGGACGAACAAACAGAAGAGAATACGATCGGTACAATAAAAGTTAAGTCAGTCAATGTAATTTCGGTGTAATATCAGCGTACTGAAAGTTTACATTGAAAAAGTAACCTAAATACACGCGGCAAACTTGTCCCCTCTATTAGGCTATTTCCATATTTTCTGGAATTTTCGGATTAAGATTGCTTAGAATCCATTGCTTTTGGGAATAGTGTCTTCGGCAATATTGCAGATAAAACGTTAATGTTGTCAATAAGATATGAAAAATGCGAATGTGTATTATATTGTATATGTTAGATACATTGTCCTGGAACTTCAGATTGATCAATTACGGAAGTTGTTTGACGTCACTGACATCTCTACAAACTCTCTCCGTGGAGGTTGTAGTATGTAAATTGTCTAAGATAAGTTATTGTTTTTGTTGCTACCTCGATATACACAAATAATTGTAAATGTACTTAAAATCAGGCAAGGGATCATAACCTTTAACCTCTGCTTTCACTTGTCTGTATTTGCATAGGGGATCCTCTGCGATCACTTAGAACCTCTGGGTTCACGTATTGAAAGCTTAACCATCAATGCCTCTGTCGCAACTATCACATACCGAAAGGAAATTATTTGTTGAATAAAAAAAAAAAACAAATCTAAATTCAATAAACCAGCGAATTTATTTGGTTGGTTGTCGTCGGTCGGCTTGTAGTGCGGTGATAGCACATCTCTCCCCATCAAGCACTGCTTATGTTTTATTCTCTTTTGCGCGGCAGTGGGACCGTATGGAAAAATAAAATTCTTAAATATTTTTTTTGTAAATTTTTGAAATAATTAATTTTTAAAGTTAGTTCAGAATATTAAAAATACCGTACATTCGGCAGCTAAGTATCACATTTGAACTAGTAAATTGCGATGTAAATAAATGTTTTTTTTTATATTTTATGAAAATAATATATTACGAGCAAATAAACTATCATCCATCATATATCTATAGTGGCGATTGTAACTCGTGCACCCTACTATCGGTGGCCCGTTCTATGTACCGGATTGACTCGGAGGTACAAATTTCCGACCAGAGGCCGCCAACCCAGCAAATACATGTTCGTGTTCGTCCATTTTTCTGATGTGGGAGAAATATTACCCGGAATGTTTGCTCCGTATTCTCTTGGCCAGTGCCGGGATCGAGACCAACCCTGGACCATGGTTCTGCTCCGTTTGACGTAATCGCATCCACCACAGATCGGTCTCGGTGAGATGTAATGGATGCATGGAGTGGGTACATTTCCGGAATTGTTCCGGCTTAAACCGGATACAGTAGCACAGCGATAGGGACTGCCTTGCTTCCTGCTGCGTCAATGTAGTGAGTCTTCACCTTCGGCGTCCTCATCGTCCATAGAAAAATAGAACCAATGAGTTTATAGCAGAATGGATGATGCAGAATCGCATACGCCATTGTCAGAACGACATTAAATGCATTTATTTGTTAATTGCACATTCCTGAACATTTTTACAGAAATTCGTGAAAATGTGGATATCTCAAAATTTTGACTGCCCATAGAAAACTAGAACCAATGAGTTTATAGCAAAATAGATAATGCAGAATCGCATACGCAATTGTCAGAACGACATTAAATGCATTTATTTGTTAATTGGACACTTGTGAACATTTTTACAGAAATTCGTGAAAATGTGGATATCTCAAAATTTTGACTGCCCATAGAAAAAATAGAACCAATGAGTTTATAGCAGAATGGATGATGCAGAATCCCATACGTCATTTTCAGAACGACATTTAATGCATTTATTTGTTAATTGCACACTCCTGATCATCTTTACATAAATTCGTGAAAATGTCGAATGAATGAATGATGCAGAATCGCATACGTCATTGTCAGAACGACATTAAATGCATTTACTTGCTAATTGCACACTTCTGAACATTTTTACAGAAATTCGTGAAAATATCGATATCCCAAAATTTTGACTGGTCATAGAAAAAATAGAACCAATGACTTTATAGCAAAATAGATAATGCAGAATCGCATACGCAATTGTCAGAACGACATTAAATGCATTTATTTGTTAATTGCACACTTGTGAATATTTTTAAAGAAATTCGTGAAAATGTCGACATCCCAAAATTTTGACTGTCCATGGAAAAAATAGAACCAATGAGTTTATAGCAGAATGGATGATGCAGAATCGCATACGCCATTGTCAGAACAACATTAAATGCATTTATTTGTTAATTGCACACTCCTGAACATTTTTACAGAAATTCGTGAAAATGTCGATATCCCAAAATTTTGACTGTCCATAGAAAAATAGAACCAATGAGTTTATAGCAGAATGGATGATGCAGAATCGCATACGCCATTGTCAGAACGACATTAAATGCATTTATTTGTTAATTGCACACTCCTGAACATTTTTACAGAAATTCGTGAAAATGTCGATGTCTCAAAATTTTGACTGTCCATAGAAAAATAGAACCAATGAGTTTATAGCAGAATGGATGATGCAGAATCGCATACGCCATTGTCAGAACGACATTAAATGCATTTATTTGTTAATTGCACACTCCTGAACATTTTTACAGAAATTCGTGAAAATGTCGATGTCTCAAAATGTTGACTGTCCATAGAAAAAAATGGAACCAATGAGTTTATAGCAGAATGGATGGTGCAGAATCACATACGCCATTGTCAGAACGACATTAAATGCATTTATTTGTTAATTGGACATTTTTGAACATTTTTACAGAAATTCGTGAAAATATGGATATCCCAAAATTTTGACTGTCCATAGAAAAAATAGAACCAATGAGTTTATAGCAGAATGAATGATGCAGAATCGCATACGTCATTGTCAGAACCACATTAAATGCATTTATTTGCTAATTGCACACTTTTGATTATTTTTATAGAAATTCGTGAAAATGTCGATATCCTAAAATTTTGACTGCCCATAGCAAAAATAGAACCAATGAGTTTATAGCAGAATGGATGATGCAGCATCGCATACACCATTGTCAGAACCACATTAAATGCATTTATTTGTTAATTGCACACTTCTGAACACTTTTACAGAAATTCGTGAAAATGTCGATATCCTAAAATTTTGACTGTCCATAGAAAAATAGAACCAATGAGTTTATAGCAGAATGGATGATGCAGAATCACATACACCATTGTCAGAACGACATTAAATGCATTTATTTGTTAATTGCACACTCCTGAACATTTTTACAGAAATTCGCGAAGATATCCCAAAATTTTGACAGTCCATAGAAAAAATGGAACCAATGAGTTTATAGCAGAATGAATGATGCAGAATCGCATACGCCATTGCCAGAACGACATTAAATGCATTTAGTTGTTAATTGCACACTCCATTTATATAGAAATTCGTGAAAATGTCGATATCCCAACATTTTGACTGTTCATAGAAAAAATAGAACCAATGACTTTATAGCAGAATGGATGATGCAGAATCGCATACGCAATTGTCAGAACGACATTAAATTCATTTATTTGTTAATTGCACACTTGTGAACATTTTTACAATGAGTTTATAGCAGAATGGATGATGCAGAATCGCCATTAAAACGAACGACATTAAATTAGAACGACATTAAATGCATTTATTCGCTAATTGCACACTTCTGAACATTTATATAGAAATTCGCGAAAATGTCGATATCCCAAAATTTTGACTGTCCATAGAAAAAATAGAACCAATGACTTTATAGCAGAATGGATGATGCAGAATCGCATACGCAATTGTCAGAACGACATTATATTCATTTATTTGTTAATTGCACACTTGTGAACATTTTTACAGAAATTCGTGAAAATGTGGATATCTCAAAATTTTGACTGCCCATAGAAAAATAGAACCAATGAGTTTATAGCAGAATGTATGATGCTGAATCGCATACGCCATTGGCAGAACGACATTAAATGCATTTATTTGTTAATTGCACTCTTCTGAACATTTTTACAGAAATTCGTGAAAATGTCGATATCCAAAAATTTTGACTGGCCAAGAAAAAATAGAACCAATGAGTTTATAGCAGAATGGATGATGCAGAATCGCATATGCCATTGTCAGAACAACATTAAATGCATTTATTTGTTAATTGCACACTTC